ACTGAGTTTCAACTCCCACCCTTGTTACCCGTCACGGCCACTACTTTTAAAAATAATTTTAATATTGCAACAAGTGACCCGTTGGAATCGAGATTGTAAAATTACAGATAAAAGCTTCAAATCCTTGCGATATTTAATCTTTGAGAAGCATTTTTTTTAAAATTAAAAAATAAAATCCAGATGTATAATTCTATGCTTGTAAAAACTAATCTTACATCTAGAAAGTAGGCAGACTTCCCACAGCATTCTCCTCTCCCTAGCAACCACCTGTCCTATATAGATGCTTGCTCAAACCACTTGGTACTAAATAAATGTAGAAATAAACATTAAGTAACCGCTTGTCCTTAGCAACGTCTAACGAAAGCTTGATCTTGACCCTGAAGTCCTTGTCAAGTGGACGAGATCTGGTGTCCTCCGAACAGCTGATGACCAATGGAAGACACAAAGGAGGAAGAACTGCCATTTAGGTAAGTAAATTATACACAGGGAACGGTTTGGAATATCCTTTTTATGGTGGTGTAAGACATGAGTTACTAAATGCACAGATAGTATATGATAATGAACATGAAGTCAACGAAGGGTCCAATTTCAAAACGATAAAGTTATGTTGTGCTAATTTGGAGTAGTGAAGGGTGTTATATCGAAATTCCCCTCTTTACTGATAGATTCATGTTTACTAAACTTTTCATTATTGCTGATAGAACAGACGTATTCTTTCATAATTGTGGATATTGCGCCTTATGGATTTGATCTTGACTTACAAACGAGGAGCAAGGACGCGGTTTATTTGTTACTTTAAAAAAATGTAGTCTTAAAGTTGCATATCGGATAATCAATTGTCTCTTTAATAATAATAATAATAATAATAATAATAATAATAATAATAATAATAATAATAATAATAATAATAATAATAATTGTAGTTATTATTGGTAAATGAAGGAATAATTACTTAAAATAAGCTATTTATTTAAAATTATGGACTCTAAACAGATAAAGGTTTTCTTTTATTATGTTTCCGTGTAGGTTCCCATTTGTAGTATTTCAGATCTAAGGCGCTTGATTTTAATGTTCGCAAATCTCGCAATCCAGTAAGATTCCATTTCTTCCTCCTTTCAAGTCGCAGTTGTGGGCAACTGAAGTTATTATAATGTCACTAAAACATGGTCCATTCAAAAGGGTGAGATTTTTTGTACCTCGAATATAATAGAAAATTAAAATATAGGTAACAAAAAGACAATCGTTTCTACCTTCATGGTTCACACTGGGTTTTCTTTTCATATATTATTAATCAGTAAAATTGCTCGAAATAAATTACATATAAGTTAGTGTCAATCCTAACATCGACATATATGAAAAGACAAAAGTACTTTTACAAAAAAACACCTAATCAAATTGTTCCATAGAAGACAAAAATATCTAACAAAGGAAAGGATCACTAACACTTTTCATAATAAACAGTGAAACCAAACATAAGCTGTAATGTATGATGTCAGGAGTGCGAACCAATTTTAAAATACAATTTTAGAAACAGGGCCGCAAAGAACGGCGATGGAAATCTGAACAAGTGCATAAATGACGCAGCATATATTCTTTCAGATCTCAACTTCAGTTAATCGGGAGTCCTAATTAGATCCACTCTAGCTTACTTAAAGAAGACACCCAAATTATATCGGAGTATTTATCAGAAATGTCCGATAATTGGCTACAATCTTCATATTTTTCAATTGCGTAGAAAGAGGCTAATAGTACTCTTATTCATGACTGCTCTTTCAAATTGCCGACTGATTTCACTACTAAGCTGAAAAAACATTTGAAAAACGTGTCTTAATGTGTCTTTAAACATTTGCGTGATTATCTTATAGTCAACAACTGAATTAGTTATCCTCAATCTGGTGTTACTCCAAAACACTCGGCTCCTTACAACTGTGTGCAATATACAGTACATATTGTAAGGTAATTGACAAAGCAAAGAAATTAGTGATGTACATTGTGATGATAGTAAAGCCTTCGACAAAGTCTGTTACAAAGATTTAATTCATAAACTAAGAAATATTTGAATTCTTGGCAGACACTTGTAATATTTTGAAAATTATCTTTTAACCGAACCGAGACGCAAAAAGTTTTAACAAAAACAGAAAAGTGCATTTCAGGCCAACATGTCGGGGCTGGCATACCCCAGTGGTCTATACTTGGACAATTGTTGCATTAATGACATTGTCCAGTATGAGACAATTTACTGATGATAATTTTTTTTCACTTATTGTTGAGGATCTAACCCAGGATGATGATCTTTGAATGAAGTCCTACTTATAAGTCAGTTAGTTGATTTTAATTAAAATTAAACCGAATCAATGACCACATCCTGGAAATCTCAAAGACAACAACACAGTTATATAGCTTTGCATACATACGCCTGGACAAAACTGAAAATGAATTCTAATTTTGGCATATACATGACCATGAAATAACTACAAAAGCATGAAAAAGGATAGAAACATTGCGACATTTAAAATTTAAAGTCATTAGAACCTATTTATTTCACATTAATAAGATCTATTTTAGAGCATGGGGATATTATCTGGGATAATTGCTCCCGGTATAAAATAGATCAGAAAAAAAATACAAGCAGAAGCAGGTAGACTCGTTAGCGGGGAATGATAATCTACATCGTATGCGAGAAAGTTTCGAGGAGACGAAATGGGAAAACTTTTAGCAAGGCTCTATAAACATGAAACGATAATTTTTTTTTTTAAAGTCGCATGGTAAGACTTTATAAGGTACACCCTTCACCAGAACAAATTAGTTCCAAAATTTATTTTCTTTTTTAAACTATGAGTTAATAATAAAATTATAAGTAAATAACTTTCATAAGCCAAGCGGGCCATATGTAAAATTCCTTTACCCACTCTCCACTCTTAAGTAGATTAAGAGTCGCAATTACTATAAAAAAGAGAATATGCACAATTTTTACACACAAGTTGTTTGCAGTTTGTTAAGCAATGATCTTTTCAAAAACCATCTATAACTTAGCATTTGATGTTTATACGTTGAACAAGAAACCGCAAAAGCATTTCCCTTACACTGTACTAGGTATGTTACTTTCAGAAATCAAACAATAGGAATATTGCCCCATATCAAGACCTAACGTCATTATTAAAGGGTAACCACGTCCAATCAGTTTAAGTATTCGAGGAGATATTTTAGGTGGTCTATATGTACATAACTACATCTAATAGATTTGTATACTCATTACTGATGTCTTCACGTTAAGCCGTTATATTTTCGGTATAAACCATCCGGGCCAAAGGTAAAATTCCATTATCCACTCTTCACCACTACACAAACGAAAACTATCTTTATATTTTTTATTTCATTCTTTTCCCCTTCTTGGATGATATGCGTGTATACAGTAATGTTTCAACTGTAAAACACATGTTGGTTACATTCTGTCTTGTAATATTGTATTTACAATATGTCACTTTACTACCTCATTAGTATGTTTCGGTGTATGTAATATCATGCCTTCTTTATTCACATCATCCACATTTTAAAAATAAAATATTGTTAAGGAAGAGAGAGCTCGAACTAAGTATATGCCTGTTGCTCACTCTTTTCGTTATCGATCATTAAATTTGATGCCATTCTACGATGACATTTTTTGGCAAAAAAACATTGCTTAAATAATACGAAACGCATTATAAATTGATAAGTACAGTTTATTGCCATAAAATGAAAATTTAAATAACAACACATATTTACAATTGGGACCTGAGGAAATCTTTGAAATCAGGTATTTTCTTAATTATAAGTGCAGGCTATTCAATACTCTTGGAATTCGAATGTTAAAGAAATCTTAACATGCCGTGTGTTGTGTACAAATTCTATTGTGATCACATCCTAAGGCCCCAAATGTTAAATAAATTTTACCCTGCAGTCTGATGCGTACCCTTTGTATTTTCGACTAATTTGGTCTCTGAAAATATAATTGCATTATTTAAGTGTGGTATTTATTATGTAAGTAATCATGGGTATTTTTTAATCTTTTGCTTTACTTATATGGTTTCGTCTGTCTATAGGTTTGCTACGCTAGTATTTAAAATTCTTGTAGAAAATATACCTACTTATCCTATTAAACATATTAACAGTTTTAATATTTCACCCGTGGTTGTGCTATGTACCTACGTGGCTGAAGTTTTTCATACACAAAATTAAGTCATGTTATCATACACGATTAAAAACGAGAAATTATTATGATTGTAGCCTACAAGTTGATGTCTAGGATTAGTTTCAATCTGCATTGTAAGCATAAAGCATATTTTCCGGTGTTTTTGTTTTAACTGATTTGTCTTTGATCTAGTGAAATGGCGTAATCAACTTATTATTGTTGCTCAATCATCTATATATATTGTTCAATTTGATATACATTAGGCGAGCACATTTTAGTAAGTATATATTCTTTAACCCAAGGTGTACCGATCTACCGTAAATAAAAAAATCAAGGCGATCATGCTCCGATACGGTGTAAGTGGCGTTGAATAGAAAACACACTACTTCTCTGATTGCTGTATAATAAAAGGAATTTAAAATTAAACACGTGACACGAGTCGATATTAGTATACAAGATTTATTTAGATTTCCTGCTACCAAACAATGGGAATATTGCCCATTATTACAGATATAAATTCGTTGTTATTGTGTGACACCACTCGACTGAGGGTGTGTGTGTGTGTGTGTGTGTGTGTGTGTGTGTGTGTGTGTGTGTGTGATTTGGATTTTTTACGTAGCTTTAATAGTTTTTCAGTCATATCGTTACGATGACTGAAATGTTGTAGTTTATAGCGATGTCAAGCAGTGGGGCATGATGCCGCAGACATTTAGCATCATATCCCACCCAGTCACATTATCCTGACAGCAGATTGACCAATCTTAACACTAACCTTTTAATGCTGAACGCCTAGCGAGGCAGCTGTTAGTACAATGTTTTAAAGTCATTGGTATGCCTCAACCGGGGCTTGAAGCCGCGACCTTTCGCATTGGAAGCGGACGCTCTAACCACTAGGCAACCGAAGCGGCAATTGGTTGAGGTCAACGAGGAGATCTTCAAAGGTGTGGATAAGTATGTGCATATAGCTATGAGATTTGCATGATCAGTATTTTGACTTTAACCTGTTATATTTCTGTCACGTGTTTGTTTTTTTTTAAGTTAAAAATCCTTTTATTTACTCCCTCGCTTCACTATGTCAAAGCCAACCTTTTTAAGGTTTTTCCTTTTTTCATCTTTGCAACCGCTCCGGTGGCCTAGTGGTTAAAGCGTCCACTTCGGATGCAGGAGGTCGCGGGTTCAAGCCCGGCCGAGTCATTCCAAAGACTTAGAAAATGGTACGAAGAGCTGCCTATCTTGGCGCTCAACATTAAGAGGTTAGTGTTAGGACTGGTCGGCCTGTTATCAGGGAAATGTGACTGGGTGGGACATCATACAACATGTTTGCGGCATAATGCCCAAATGCTAGACATCACCATGAACTGTCACACTGCAGACATTGTAGCGATATGACTGAAAAAATTGTCAAAGCTACGTTAAAAATCTAAATCACACACACTCTCATCTTTTTTTCTGATTGGTACATGCAATAAGATACACTTTCCTGCTACACTGGTCTTAGTTGTTGTCAAATATTATACAAAAATTATATGTATAAGTTTCTTTTAATGTCTAATCATGGTGTTTCAATGTTTGCAGTATTCTCCAGCCCCATTATATGAATAAAAAGTATTGGTAACAATAGTACAGCATGCAATAAAAAGTTTGTTGCTCAGTTCTCTAAATCTCATATTTCATTTTATGTACTTTACACAAAGACTTCTGGAAGCAAAAACCATTTCAGCGAACCGCGATTATAAGAGGAAAAATGTAAAATGTGCGTGTGAGTGTGTGCGCGCGCGTGTGTGTGATTCAGGTTTTTACTTTGCTTTAATAGTTTTTATGTTATATCAGTACAAAGTTTGAAGTGTGGAAGTTTATAGTGATGTTTGGCATTGGGGCGTGAGGCCGCATATATGTAGCATCTTGTCTCACCTAGTCACATTATCCTGACAGCAGGCTGCTGACCATCCTAACATTAATCTCTGTTATAAGTCTTTGGTATGACTTAGCCGGGGTTCGAACCTACAACCTTCCGCATACAAAATCGGCATGTAGGCAATAACTTTCTTAACTGTAAAAGATTACTGTATGGGAGATAGTAATAGTTCGTTTAAAACTTGTATACGTTCAAAATATCTTTTTGATGCTGAAACTGCTAAACTCGATATACAAGGTTCATGCAACAACATGGCAATGCTTCACAACTGTTAAACTTGGCTTTATGGACTGATAATATTAATCCAGTTCCAACCTTTATATTATCCTTATCAGCCCAAAATGATTCAAAATAATTAACGCAGTTAAATATATAAATAAATATGGAAGATGAGCACAAAATATACCTTCAAGATATTTTTTTAAGCATAAATTTCCCAAACGGCATGCAGACATAGTGCAAGATTTTGTAGTAGGCTTAATATCCATAAAGCTTTAGTCCGTTGGACGATAGTAATTTTCCCTTTAGAACTTTCCTACCTTAAAACTCCTCTTTTAGGACTCGGTTCCAAACCTCTCCTTCAGACATCTTTGAATAGCTAGGAGTAGCCTTTATTTCTATGAAATTAGTATGATATTCATTCTCATTGAATATTTCACAAATAGTTCCGCGCAAAATTCTTCAATCAATCAATCAATCAATCAATCAAAAATTTAAATGTTTTACATGAAAAACAAAAAAGTTATATTTTACATATATTTGAAATACACATAGTTTTAGTAATATAATAAAAAAATGAAAATAAATCAATAAATAAATCTTCGAAAACAAATATGAAATAATTTGATGACTACAATAAATTGTAACAATTTATTTTCAAAGCTTCTCTTTTAACACTCAAGATAATCTCATATATGTGAAAAAATGTGCAAAATATAAAACTATATCCTTAATCACTTACACACACACACTATATATATATATATATATATATATATATATATATATATATATATATATATATATATATATATATATATATATATATATATATATGTGTGTGTGTGTGTGTGTGTGTGTGTGTGTGTGTACACTGCATTATCTATAAACAACGAGATGTATATATTTTTCCTTAAAAAGAAGAAAGGCCTACCGAATTTTCTTTCAGTAACCGCCTTAGCAAACGCATTGCCCAATTTGGATAATTTTGGCATAACAACTGGAATTACACCAGTAGCCCATGTGTACAAGGAATATCGAAATAAACTTTTAAATAAGTTTTATATGATATTAAACTTAAAATTTTCTTCCGTCACTTTATGATTACTTTTTCTTTATTTGTAAAAAAAATATTAATGCATGGGGCCCCTGAGAGTGTAGGGCCAAATTGGGCCCCAAAAGGTCCAATCGGCATAAGACCGACCCTGTTTCCTTTCAGTGTAAAAATTATACAACGACTAGTATATAAATGATACAGCCCACATACTATACACATATCTTTTTATCACATACAAACATGCACATTTGTATTTCCAACGCAGTCAGGACTGACTACAAGCAACTGTGAATTGACGGTATGAATGAACTCGGCACAACTCAGTAGTTTTTAACCTATGGTCTCGATGGACCTTTTGTTAGGGCAAATTTTTGTCCAACGATGACCTATTGAAGAAAAATGATTATAATAAAAACTAACTAATCAATTTTGTTGAAAGCATGCTTGTAAGATTCAGACTGAGGTATTACGATTAATTCATTATGCAACTGGTGGCTTTCATACTGAATGATACTGCCACCAACCCCTCTTTTTACATTCATTTTTGACAGAAAATAGCTATTTTGAACATTTTCCTGGAACAAGGCGGCTAAAAGAATCAGAATGTACATTAGTAATCTTTAAAATTCACTTGTACTATACCAAATTACCATGCCTTTTATCACCTCCCAAACATGTAGATTTTTAGATATTGACCTTTGTAGCAGACACATGTTAATACTTAAGCCAAGTTAGCTGCATCATTTGAAACGCTAGTTACGCATTTTATCTCCAATGCTAATTCAACTGTGACAGGTAGACAACAACAAGCCAACCCATTTTCAAGCCTAACTAAAAATAAATGTAAACCATATTACAGATTTAGATTGTGTGAGAATTTATAAATGATAGGGTTTTGATAATTAGCCTCATGCCTTCTACCTTATAAATTATGGTTGGTGGTTTCAAAATACGAAACTATCCAGTGAGACCTCTTGGTGAGTATTCACAGTCTTCTTTCTAAATTGATAATGTGCTTCTTTTAGCTTTCGAACTTCTATTTTCGTTCATATTGATTAAATAAATATAAGACACGTCTGATTAAAACAAGAAAAATTGTTTAAATGAAGAAAGTGAAGTACTACAAGCAGATAATGGTATACTTGAACATCAAACTCGCTGGCTTTCACATACCGGCTAACATATTTAAAATAGCTGGAAATACAAACTAAGCGAAATGAGGGACCGGCAAGAGGTAATTGAAACATTCAAATGTAGTTACAGTTCATTATTATAATTTAATTAACATTGTTATCAGCCATATAATTGTTTATATTCTACGTTTCTAACTTTTCCCCGCCATTACTGCTTGTGCCTACTGTTTCACTCATTCACAGGTCTAGAGGCATCGTCGTATGACACAGGCGAAATTTTGCCAGGTTCGTTTCTTAACCGATTTTCGCTAGAGTCTTTCTACGAAGGTCCTGACCTGAGAGAGAGAGAGAGAGAGAGAGAGAGAGAGAGAGAGAGAGAGAGAGAGAGAGAGAGAGAGAGAGAGAGAGAGAGAGAGAGAGAGAGAGAGAGAGAGAGAGAGAGAACTAAACTTTCATCAAGTCAACTACGAGAACCTGGGACTTCGTAAAAATTATGTCCAAACATTCCATGGGATTTTTATATAGTGTTCACAATACCAGTGATAGAAATGTACCATAGCCGGTAAAGTTTTATACGGTACATTAATTTGTAAGGAGAAACACACATAACATCAATGAAAGTCTCTTAGAAGCCTTCTGGTAAAACCAGACCTGCATTTTCTCGTGAAAGAGCGCACCAATTTGGAATTTAGAGTTGTTGTAAGCACTTTCTTCAGAAATAGTCTATTCCGACTTCTCGCGTACGCCTCTTATTAAAGGAATGCAACTCTGACATGTCCTAACAAGCAGTCAATATAATGAAAAAAAATTAAAGGACGTTCATTTAATCTTTTTAAAACTAATAACTATTTTCCTTTAGTGCCTTGTGTTGTTATGTGCAACGATAATACAATGCTAACGGTAGAACATAGTGAATCAGCATATTTCTGGAGTTTTAACTTAATACACGGGGTACCCTACTGAAAGCAAGGGTTCCAAGTTCTTGGCCGTCTTTCAAAACAAAGCAGGTACACTCTCGATCTAAACACAAACATGGCCGGGCATGAGACATTGTTACAGACTAGCGAATTTAAAAACTACTTATCAGTTCTACTGGCATTTCGATTTCTTGCTAAAGAACTTCAAAAATGTGTCGACATCAAGCTGAAAGAAATTCATCGGGAAATTTACACAAAATGTTCCGTGTATCAACCTTGCCAACATGATTGCAGTGAACAAGAGAAAGGCACTCTCAGGTAAGACTGCTTGAAAGACATGAATGGGGTATAGGGACTCGTATCCTTACTACAACTTACCTATAAATCATATATGTACTGTATAATAATACAGAAAATGAGGTAATGAATAGGTACAGTACACCAATTTGGTTCACCTTGAGAAGTCAGTATTCCAATCAGGGCATTGCAATTGTTTATGAACCTGACACTCTAAAGTTTTTTTTCACCGGTTTTTCGAGCTTTTTATAAAAGAAACATTGTTTTTCTTGGGTGTTAAACAATTCCCATTATTGGGGCGTATATTTGGGTTATATAGTATACAGCTTGGCATTATTAAATATGTGCATCTATAAAAATAAATAAT